CTTTTACTATCAAATACACTCATTTCCTTTGCCCTGTTTTCTCTAAAAAACATTAATAGACTTAACACATTGAATGTAAGACATGACAAATATGTTGAATTTTAAAAATCCTTCTAAAAAGCCAATTCTAAATATCTATCTTTAATTGATGGTGAATTGTATTTTCACCCTGGGATATACTATATCAGAATAATGATAAGAGATTGAAGTTGATATTTGACTGAATGAAGCACAATCTTTTGAACAAGGTAAACAAGGTCTAGGTAAGTATTTAGAGTCTATTGAACAATTCAAGATGTGTGTGAATATTAAAGTTATAACAGTAGTGCTCATATCTGTTTAAGGCCAACAATAACTTAGACATTACTGACTATATTTTATATAATTTTAAAAACAAAAAACTAAGTATTCTTTCTTCTCCATTAAATTTCCCAAACATCTGACTTCTATTTAATAAACAAAAGCTTTAAATTTGTTTAAAATGGTAATTGATGATTTGTTTAAAACTTAAGAAGATACAAAAATAGTAACATAAGAAGAACCAGGTTAATTGTGTATCTAATTTAGAATTTAAAAGAAAATTCAACCCTGATGAAAATTTATAAAACCATGTACTGCCATGGCATTTTTCACAGGTGGAATTTTCTGTTTCAAAGTCTACTTTAAAAAATCTGTTATTTAAAATGACATAGCCTTCACTACCATTCAGGATTGTGGTAGTAAACAAATAGGTTCTTGTTGTCCTTGTTTTCTGCCAAACCGATAGCAATCTCTTTTATGTCACTAACTAAGCAAACAAAAAAGGAATCTAATGAGATTCCCAAAGCATGTCAATCCAGATTAACCCTCTGGCAGCTCTCCTTTATGGAACATGTAGCCTCTTGAGTAGTGAATTTCTGGCCAAGAAACTTACAAAATGATACCAATTGTAATATAAAAGTTCACTTTTATTTCAGCTAATGTTTGTTTACATATTGGAGGGAGTATGGGATAATAGCAATGGCCTTGCGGGGTGAGAGAACTACGAGAATTTGGGAATGTTAATTTGTCCAAAGGTGCCTTAGAATCTCATCTCTGGAGTGGGGTTTCATCAAATTCTTATAGGGTGGCTATAATATAAAATATGTAAAGTAGGCACCACATCAAAATGGTTAAGAACAAGGACCCTGGGGGCAGGGTCCATGAAAGATACCAGTCTTGTCTGTTTTGTTGACCATTGTATTTCCTGGGATTAAAATGGTTCTCAGCACATACTGTGTGCGCTATAAATATATGTTAAATAAATAAATCTTGGCTTTGTCAATTCTTGGTTGTATTCTTGGTGGAATAAGGCACCTCTGTAAGCTTGTTTCTTAGAGTGAGAATTAAGTGAGTACAATGCAAATGCTTAATATATTACCTACTTTTAAGGTAACCTGAACACAGTATGAAAAAAAAAACAAAAACCAGGCACTCAGTCTGTGGTAACTATTATTATTAACTTAAATTTATAATTAATACATACTGTCTATTTTAGAAGATATTATTAATGATATCATGAGTTAACAAAGCTACTGGTTTTAAATAATATTATGTATTTGAAAGTCTTTTGAAAATTGCTAAGTATAAAATATTATAAATGCTTTAAAGCGTGTTTGGAAGAGAGCATTCACTCACAAGTTAAAATTCTGTTATTTAATAATACTTTTTGAGATATTCACTTTTTCCCATTAAATATCATTGTAAAGATGAAAGGAATCCCCTTTTATCATTCATCAAAGGAAGAGGTTCTGAAGAGTATGGGAAATGTTGGTCCATGTGTTCAGTAATGAGAATAACAAAGAAAATTCTCATTTTCTAAATGTATAACTTATAAAGTACTCAGATATAGAAATTATTTTGCAATACAGAGTCAATCATTAACTATTTTAAGACACCCTATAGAAGATAAAATAATGAAATTATTTGTTACCTTAATTCAAAACCCAATATTTTGTTGTTAATCCTCACCTAAGGATATTTTTTTCCATTGATTTTCTTGTAAGAGAGAGTGGAAGGGGGAGAAACAGAGAGAGGGAGAGAAAGAGTGAAACATAGATGTGAGAGACACATTGATTGACTGCCTCCTGCATGCCCTTTACTGAAGAGTGAGCCCACAATACTCTGGCATAGGAAATCAAGCTGTGACCTCCTGGTTCATGATGCTCAACCAGTGAGCAACACTGGCTGGGTGTGGGCTGCAAACTTTTACATTACAAATAGAATTTGTTTAAAAGTTTCTAGGACACACCATGGTTTAGTCCCTCAGAAAGTCCTTATTGCCTTACCAAGCTCCCTGTCTTGCTCTACCACATAGTTCTAAGGAGCTATCATAGTATAAACTTTACTCACAAAATAACTCATTGTGACAGCAATAGCAAAGGTACTCACAGATCAAGGAGAGTGGGTTGAAATGTTGATTTTGTCAAATATAGTTAGAAAGGGAAGGGGCATTCCAGAGCAAAGAGTAAAGTGGTCAGGAGAAAACCAGAGACCACGCAGGGAAAATGAAACAGAATGAAATGCAGGCAGAGAGAAAGGAAGCTGCAGGGCAGGTTGTGATGGTGTAGAAATGAGGGACCAGAGGAATGAGACACTGATCCCTCCCTGCTCTCTGGTACATGAGTCCATCACACTGATCCTTGAGATTCAATGCAAACTTTTTGAAGGATTGAGAGAAGAAGCTCAAACTGGTCTAGGATGAAGGGTGGGGTGGTGGATGCCTCCATTCTGTGTAATAACCTCTTCAAGCTTGCCATTTGCTCCTGCCTCCTACATTGGTCACCTTCCCATCTCATCCACTTCAGTCTTTGCTCCAGGCTTCTGCATTCTCCCCCGGCACCAGCTCTCTTACCACAAATAAAACTGTCTCTTTCTTTTGGCTTAAGTTTCAAACTCAACCTATTTCTGCCCTAATACCCATTCACCCTTTCCTACAGCAACACAATGAAGATAAATAAACAAACAAAACTCTCTGCGTGTCTTTCAAAAACACCAATGATCTAGCTAAATGAAAACTAAGCAATTGTTTCACAGGATTCACCAACTAACACCTACTTTTCTGGAAGGTTAGGGGACTTCTCATTATTTGCAATCTATCTAGGGACTGGGTCTTTGTAATAAGAGTTTTTATATGTGATATGCCCTCCCCACATACTATCAAGTTTTCCAGGAAATCTATGCTAAGCATATCCTTCTTTGAATAGCATTACACATTCAGAAATTGTTTATTAATACTTTATAACTATTCATCTTTCTACCCCAATTTGATAATAACTTTGAGATCAAGACTAAATGTTTGTCTTTGCATTCTGACAATAGATGACTGACTAGGATATTAACAGAATAATTTTGGTAGATTATCCCAAGTCCTGACAAAGTCTCATCATTTACTATATACCATTAGCACAATGTCTGTCATCCAAAATCCCCTTCTCCACAAACTCCACACCTCATACCATTAAAAAAAAGTTTATTCATAAAACCCCAAAGGGAAGGTTTTTATAACTGCTTTACTGGAAACATTGAAAAGAAGCTGTTCTTCAATCGACTTCCCATATAATAAAATGAATACATTATCAGTCTCCTTGTTCTGAACATAAATGTGTGACCTCCTATCTAGGGTTTATATTTTGACTTCTAGACTACAATGGCTCCATGCTTACCAATAAAAAAATTATGTTTTCAAATATAAATACTTCCATACATTTACAAAGTTCTGTATCACTTTCTCATTTTTAATTAATTGATAAAAGATATCTTTGGGTTATTGAAGATAGCAAAAAACTAATGTAAGATATTCTTAATTTTGTAAAATTTATAAGATTTGTCAAAAGATGAATGAGAGTAATTCATTTCCCCCAAAACACTGCATTTCTCATCCATATTGGAGTCAAGCAGAGCGCTAAGTAATTACCTGATTATGTATTCCCTTGACTGCATGTATCAAAGTTTCCGCCTTCACATGAGAATTAAATATTGGCATGTGGTAACATTTCAATTTCACAATTGAGTTCTGCCTATGGAGATCTAAGTCTCAAATCACTCCAGGTTGAAAAAAGGAATCCAATTTTAATACTTTTCTTGAATAATCAGAGTTCCCATATTTTTATTCACTGTCAGTACTGAAAACTTCAATTTATATTATTATTTTTTTCTTTTTGAGGCTTATACAACTTTTGAGGGAATAAGAATGCTTGTTTAATTACTATAATACTTGTTTTTATTCTTTCTAGTGAACATTGTGGTTATCTTATACAGAACAACAATTTAATTTTGTACTAAAATCTTCCACTTAGTAGTTCATTTAGAAAAAGTTGTTCTATTTCTAGAAGATAAAAGAAAAGTTTGACAGTTTTAATAAAGTATATTAAAATTTTCAATTTGAAAAAAAAAATCCCCCCCAAAATGAAAATATTAGGTTGGGTAAATATCACTAGGGAGTTTAGGATTAGCATTTTAGTTTTCTTGGCAAGTCATAAAAATTGTAAGCAAGAAACAGAATGATTAAAAAAAAAAAAAGTATGATGAACTATAGAAAAACAAATGATTTTATCGATATCTGACTTCGGGGTCAAATGCTTAAAATATTTTTTTTTATGACCAGCAAGCATTTTGCCCTAAATAGTGATAGCCTGTTAAATCACTAGTATGATGGTGAAAGTTTCCAGCAATCTGACAAAATGTGGGACTCTCTTATGTGATTTGAACTACATGGGCATCTTGGAAGAATAGAGTAAGCATTTCTCCCACTATTGCAACACATTTTATAGTGAAGTCGTTAACGATATCCTTTGATTTATAGCTGTAATTTAGGATCCTTAACTGTATGAAGGCACTATCCCATTGTTTTCTAACAAAGAAAAGAACTAATTCCAGAAACAATAAAATTCGTTATTTTACTTTCACTACATCTCCATTTTCTATATGATTTATACACTATGATCTTTATGGCAATGTATGAAGAAAGGAGTGAAACTCACTCAATGAAGTAGACTTCACCCTTCTCTGTGTAGGCCATTTCCCAGTTATCAGGCAATGGGTCTGATTCCTCATTCTCTTCAGGTTTAGTGGGTTTTGCATCATCCATCTGGTCCTTCAGCTCCTCGGGCTGACTGTACACTGGTGCAGGATAAGGCTGGGAGGGTGTCTCCCCTGAGGCACCTGCACTCTTGTCTTCATGTTCACTGGATTCTACAAGAGAACAAGAGCATGCAGTTAGCCACTCAAGCCACAGTGACTTCTAGGTGAGTGTGGATTACGCTGCATCAGGAACAAGCCCTATAAAGGCTAATAGGAAAAGTACAATTGTAAACAGCTCTGAAAATTGTCACTAGGCCTATTTGACTTCCCTTGCATGCATCATTCTCTCCTATCCTTCAACTTCTGGTTGCTGATCACTGAATTGAGGACCATCATTTCATGCCACAGATGTTTTAGGCAGAATAATGACCCTTATAGAATGTCCATGTCCTACTCCTTGGGCCATATGAGTGTTACCGTATGTGGCAAAAAAGGATATGAGGATCTGGTTAAAGTAAGGATTTAATTAGAGAGTAAGATATTTATTATTCAGATGGGATCACTGTAATCACAAGGATTTTTTTTTTTTCTCGAAAGTGTATGAGGTAGCTCAGTTGGTCAAACATCGTCCTCATACACCAAGGTTGAGAATTCAATCCCCAGTCACTGCACATACAAGAATCAACCAGTGAATGCATAAATAAGTGAAACCACACATCTGTTTTTCTCTATTACTCTCCCTTCCTTTCACGCTACATCTCAACCTTCCTTTCTCTAAAATCATTTTTTTTTTAAAGAGCAAAATTGTAAGAGGAAGGCAGAAGAGCAGGTTGAGAGGTAGATATGACTACTAAAGAATGACCAATCAGATACACTATTGCAGGCTTTGGAGAAAGAAGAAGGGAACCAAGTACAAGCCAAGAGTGTAAATGCCCTCAGAAGCGGGCAGGACAAGGGAATGGATTCTCCCCTAGGCCTCCGGAAAGGAACGCAGGGACTGACAGCCATTTAATTGAAAGAGAGTTAAATACATGCATTTCTGCATTAATTCCAGTTCACACAATTCTATAGCTGTGGCCCAGTCTAAGATTTGGATATCATAATATGTACAGTAGCCATGCCATTGCTTACATGTTTCAGTATCACAGTGATTTTAGATGCAAATCTAAGGATAAATCAGAATGCCATGGTTTTGAATGTCCCTGCCTGGCTTCATTAAAAAAATAATCAGAAACCAAGATAAAATCATTTCAAGAAGAAAAATGCCTATTTTATACCTAATCCATACTTTCATTTGACGGTTGAGGCATATAGTTCATATTCAGCTTTCTGTAATTGCCATCCTTTGAAATGAGGAAGAATAATATTTTGAAGCTAGATAGAAAATTATTGATTTCATTTCTTTGAACAGTCATAACATTTAAAATTTTAAAACTTGTTTTAGCGCATGAGAAAGCTCTGATTTATATTTCTGACTATATAACAAATGTTAATAAATCTAATAATTTCCTGCTGTCTTTATATTATTTATTTGGAAATAAACATTGACTAGAGAACATTTAATGGGGAATAAATACTGAGGAACATATTGTAGTTGATTAAAAAAAAAAGAATACAAATAATTTGAGATTAACAGAAATTCATTTTCTTTTTGTTTAGCAATTCTCATATAGCAGCAAACATGCTCCACAGAAATGGAACATGATTGTTAAGGCTGGTGTCAGAGTGCCTGGGTTTAAATATGTCCTTGACAGTATGATACTGAGCAAGCTATTGAATCACTCTGTGCATTCCTCAATTTCCTTAACTATATGATGGGGCTAAAAACATTACCTACCTATAAAAATTTGACATGATGTATATAAATTGCATAGAATAGTAAACTACTGAAACATAGTAGATGTTTAGTAAATGTCATATATTACTCTCAGGAATTCTACTACTTAGAACACTAAATAAATTGCATAGATAAATCAGTTGAGCAACCTAAATGGTTTCTTCCCAAGGAGACAAGAATGGTCTTATCTGTGATATTGGTAACCAAATTGGATCTCATCTATTGAGGTGGCTACCCAAAAAAATGGGAATTACTAAGAAACAACAGTCAATACTTCAAAATTATTATTTTTGGCTTTATGGAAAACACACATTTTTTAAAAATATTAGGTGTTTTCTGAAAATAATGCAATTGCAAAAAAATATATAAGGATATACTCTTTACTGGGTGTTTGCATGAATTGAGTTTTTCAATTAAGACATGCTGTGGAGTTAAGTGACTTAAAGGAGAAAAATAATCTTCAGAAACCACACATTCTCACACACACACCCCTCCCCAAGTTCTGTATTATTTCCTACAGAGTTTTACATTTGATTTGGCTGGGCATCAGGAGCTCTTACTGAACTATAAACTTGTTATCACCTGTAAACTTGGCACCTGTAAGGGTGCTGATTTAATGAAGAATCAGAGTCTTATTTTGTGTTAGCCAAAGGCTTAGTTTCCTTATATATCCTCAGGACAACTTTTACTTTCACTCCACATTTACACCCCATAGTGGTGGAAGTGGTGGAGCTTGCAATCAGATGGGCTCACTGTCATCAAATTTCTTGCAAATTCAGCAAATCATTAAAAAGTATCCTATATAATAATCCTATATAATAAAAGGGTGATATGCAAACTGACCCTAACAGTGAAGCGACCAGAACAACCGCTCGCCAGTCACTATGAGGCACACTGACCACCTCTTGGTCCCTTTCCCCTATCCGGGAGGCTCTAATCACCTGATGGCAAATGGGAAACCAGGGGTGGGTGGTGGGGGTGCCAGGTCAGGGCCCCTGGCTCACCGGTTGCCCCACATACAGAAGGCAACCCATGGCCGGGGTAGGGCCAGTGAGTGGGCAGGAACAGCCAACCTCTCAGTCCCTGTCCCCAGCTGACAAGCTCCAATCCCTCAATGGTGAATGGGGAACAGGGAGTGGGTATGTGTGTGGTGGGGGAGAGATAGGGCTGGCTCCCAGCAGCCAGGGAAGATAGCCCTGATCGCAGGCCAGGCCTAGGAACCTTACTCACACATGAATTTTGTGCTCTGGGCCTCTAGTGTTAGTTATATTGATCTAAGTTATAATTGTATTGTGGGGTGGAGAGGCAGACAGACTGCCTGAGCATGTTGTTCATTTCACTGCTAGAGGCTGGATTTCTTAGAATTTGAAACACAGGCTCTTGTTAAAGGAACACTTCAGGGTAGATTCTTGCACAAGAGAAAAATATGATCGTAATTGATTTTTTCTTATGACCAGACTATTGATTATATCCTATAATGTAAAGTGGAGGACATGCTGTCTTCAGAAAGAAAATAGTCATGTGGTGGCTACTTGCATGCTATGCAGCCATTTAATTGAAAGTAGCCAAGATTGTAGCTTATTGCTTAACGTGTGCTGTTATCAATTTTCCTAAACCTTCTAAAATGAGAAGTGGAATTATAATGTGAGGGCTAAAATGTTTTCACATTGAATGATTAGTGAATTTTTGTTCATCATTTCAAAAATGACTACTTTTTAATGTAGTAAAACATGCAAATGGCCAAATTCAAAAATACAGAGGAAATAGGTAAGTAAGTCTCCTCCCAGTGTCTACTCCCAGTGCTCCAACAATGCAGGTAGCAAAGATGATTATTGTTCTGCTCCTTCAGAGATGTTTTTATGTACATTGATTACTTTTAGTTGGTGTTTTCTGACTCCTTAATAATCTGTTAGTGTTTTTAAGTTCTAAAAAAGTGCATTATAATTTTTTTATTTGTTATGAGATTAAGGAGGGGTAGTCCTTAAAAACGATGGCAATTATATATATATATTTTTTTTTTCTGAGATGTTAACAAATACTTATATTATTTGAGGCCATGAAAGAAACACAAGTCAAGAATAAAATGTTAGAATTAGGGAAAATTAGGGTAATGACTTTTGAGATGAAATATCAATTGAGGAAAGAAATTCCTAAACCTGTGAAAAATTATGTTTTATTGGTGATATTTGTAACGTAATTGGATCTCATAAATTTAGTAAACTAGCCAAGAAAATGTAATTTACTAAGAAATAATGGTCAATACCACAAAACTATTTTTTATCTTTATCAAAAACACACAATTGGTTACAAGCTGCATAGAACACTAAAAGACTAGAAGATGAAAAAAAAATCTCAAGATATAAAAAAATTAAATTGGAAAGAATCACTGGAAAAAATGAGTAGAGGGAATTTTTTCCATTAACAGGGGAGAGGCACTGCCTTAATTAGTATATATTCTTCTTCCTGCAATATTTAATTTTTAAAACATTTTAATAAAAGTCGACTGAAATAGGGCAATGAAATAAATCCTCAGAGCTTTGAAATTGTATATGCTGCATTATTTTTATAATGTAATGAACTCTGAGGATATCTGTCATATAGAAACGAGTTCCTCAAATCCTCAACTAACTTTGGGGTTAAAGAAACTGATATAGCCTTCAAAGACCCAAGCAAGATATGAAATATAGGACATGTATGTATACTATTTTTTAGGTCTTGCCTTCAAAATTCTGAAAAACATTTATAGACTACACTATATGAAACATAACATCACCTAGGGGCTGAAGGAGAAAAGGAAGAAGACTTAAAAATCTCGATATGGATAATTCAAGTGCTATTGTTTGGGGCCAAATTGAAATCTAGGTATTTTCTGATGAGAAGAAGAAGTCAATTAGGAGGAAAGAGATACGGGTGCTATTTCCAAAGACAGAGCGCTGAGGAAGAAATGAGGCGCAGATAGACCTTACCGAAAGATCTTCCCTCTTCAGGCACAAAGGCCAGCCAGAAATAAGTGGAGGAATCGGAGGCTTCGCCCTGAAATTATAATCACTTCTATGAGGAGAACTATAAAGGTAAGAAAATAGAACACGGGGTAAAATCAGACCTAGAGAGAATGGATGACTATGATTAGAAACAAGCTGAGACTCAACTCGTCCACAGGCTTTTTGGAAGTGCTGCTCAAACCTGAACGCCACCCTGGTTGTCCCCTGTTCCACATTCCTCCATCATGTACCAAGTCTCACACATCCTAGGAACCCTCAGAGAAGTAGAAAAAAACATTCCACAAAGGCTGAGTGCAGAGCCAGAAAATGCTGAATCAGTTTGGAAGGCAAGA